GTTAGAATCCCATCAGAGGGTCGTACTCCGTAGTTTAAGGGGAGGGGGCCGTATTTGATCGGGGAGAGACGTATCTGCATCTGAAGGTAGTTTTCCGAGAAGCAATGGGATTTCCCGTTTGTTGACTTTTCCTAATTTTTCCCGTTTCATGCCCACTGTGTGCTCCTGCCAAGGCTAGATTCCCCAGGTCGACGACGCAATTTCTTTTGAGGAAAAAAGGAGCAATTTCTGGAAGACTGGTTAAATTATTAGGAAGGAAGGTTCACGGAGATGGTAGATAGAATGAGAAAAGGGACAGTACTGAGAGAGGAGAGGGGGGAGTAGTACCGACGCCTCCATCTCGCGCAACACGATGTTGTGCCCTGATTGGGCGCAACTAGCTTTGGAGGGGCATTTTGCGGCATGTAGCTTTGCAAACTTTGTAAAGCTTCGACATGGTACTCTGTGAAATTGTACAGCTGATATCATCGCAATCAGTCGGGACGGTGTCAAAAGGCAGGGAATGTACCCCCGCGGCATTTTTCACCCGTGGTTGTTTTCTTCTATCAACCGCCAACCAATCACTACTGATTAACGCTACCGGGGCGGGCATACTTTACTGTTCCTGTGCCGCCCCCTCTGGTTGTGACGATTTCAACTATACAGGTCACTTTGGGAAGAACTCTGAATCGTTGTGAGGCTAATGCAGTCGTACACCACATCAACTGAAGAGTTGTCAAGGGTTTGCAGGTCTCACCAAACCTGCTCCGAGAAGCTTGTTCTATTTCACAGCTACAGAAGGCTTAGTGTGATCTCACCAAGGTAAGGAAGTTGAGGTAAGTAGCGCATTAGCAAATGTTCCCCCTTAGGCAGACAACGCCTCAAGCAGTTCCGATCAAAAATAGAACTACAAAAAGAAATGATCAAAGTAACCAAGCTTTGCCACAGTTTGTTCTGAACAAAAAGCGGGACTACAATAAACAAATAATCGAAGTAACTATCACTTATCCCCATCAACCTCGATAACTTCTTGCCGTATTTGGGTACGAGGTCGATGCCACAACAGAGGGATTTTCTTCGGTCATCCCAAGGATCATCACAATCAGGTCGAGCAGGATTAAACCTCCAGACTTCAGTCCAGCTTGGAACATCGCGATCCTATTCATCCCTTCTGCCTACGTACCGTCCCAGGCTCCATGTTCCTCTTCCTGGATTGGTGGAATTGTGGTGTCAGCACGACCTTTAAGTGTTCGGCACACCCTACATACAGCCTACTTACAATCTCAGAGCTCTCAAAAATTTGTCATCGAACCGGGGGAGGGGGTGGGTGGGCCGACACCTCCAACTAACACGAGTTGTAATTTTTTCTCGGGCCTGGCGCGCCGCGTGAAACGGAAAAAATTTGACAAGGAAGTCGAAAAAATCCCTTTCAAAAGATTAAAAATGAGTCCTTTTGTTCAGTGACCGAATGCAACCCTCTAGGATTCGCCCAGCCATGCTATCCTCTGGCGCCGCTCACTAGTATTTTACCATACACGCCATTCGTGCCCGAATAGCGAGCGAATTTTTTCCTAAGAAATCTCTATTCACAATCAAGTACTGGTAAGTTGTATACCGAAATGTTCTTGAGGAAATGTGCAATAGAATGATGCCAAAATCGTGCAGTTCCACCACGAAAATCAAGTTCGGAGATCACGAAAACGCTAATATATTTACACAATCTATTGGAATAGAACTCACTTGCCAACATGAAAAAACGTGTCGCTGCTCGTATCCTGGAAAGGGACCGTCTTTTCCGAGCTATTATCAGCGCATTGAAGGAAATTCGTATAATTTAGCTCGGTTTTCAGAAGTTTTACTGAAGTACTAATATTACATGAGTAACTTGATAACTGCCAAGCACAGCAGAGCCCACCACGTAGTGCATGCTCGACTGAACGTCTCGAGGCCAAAACGAAATACGACGACCAAATGAATGGGACCAGATAGAGCGCCAACGTCGTCAGTCTCATCCTATTCTCTGCAGTCTCAGGGTGTGCATAGCGCTTTATAGGCTGGACATTCTGATTCAGAAATCCCTGCTCAAACACAAATACATCTTGACCATTCCGCGGTCTAAATATGGCATTCGGTGTTGCATAGCGACAGACTCTGCCGGATTAGCGGCAATTCACACGGAAAACTGAGGAATCGCTGGCTAAATGTGGCTGAGGGGGGCGCGACACTCAGTTCCGCAGCATGTTTTACCCCTCACAGTGATAAGTTATTTCTGCGAAGGGTTCGCTAACTAGACATGTGATTCCGCAATCATATGAGCTACGTGACATTTAGTTCGAGTAGTGAGGCAGGCGCTTTCCAGCCCTTATTCCATTTAACTCATATCCCAAAGATGGGGAGGGATGGTCGCGTGCTCCATTGAAATGGCGCAGGATGCGTTCCAGTGCGATATTTCCATATGACATTGGCAGTATTTCCACTTTTTTTTCATTGCAACTGTTCTAGAAGGAAGGGATCCTACAGCAGAAGTGCAGCCGCCGCCTGCTTCGATGAGATGCGAGCCACGCCCACTCCATCTCCGAGATATGGAGTGCGTGTCGTATTTCGCTAGTGGCACATCGTTGTTTTTTTACGCAGAGCAATTCGCTTGGATTCATATTATAACCTCTATCCCACTATGGACGCTCAATGTCCGGAAATCAATTAATTTTATTACATTTACTCTACTGAATGGAACAAAATAGTCTTTACAAAATTTTGGTACTTCATTATGTCACATTTTTCCCGAAATGTTGTAGTGGCAAGTGGGGAAGCTGGAACGAAAACAGCTCGGAGATCGGATCCTAACACCCCCTAGTGCATCCAACCCTTCTATCACTTCGGGGAAGAGTATTATGAAACGGGCTCGTCTAGGAGAAGAAAAACCCCGGGCTAGACATCGGCTGGCTCCACAAATCATTTTACATGCCAAATTGCATTCAAAGCTCACGCTTACATTAGCATTTGTTATTTATTGAGGTAAAATCTACACTGACTGCTGCACGCTTTCTTAGCGAGATGGGCGCCTCGGCTGGAGTATTGACAGAACTTTTAAGAAACCTGGACATAATAGTTAACAGCCTAAGGCGAATTCGCGCTCAATCTACCCAATGTAGCACTCAAGAGCCCTAATCACATGGAACTATCATATCTACGAGTTTATCACTCTACTTATGTAACGACGTACCGGTAAGTTTTGGATTAGTGCCAGAAAGAGGAAGCTAGGCGTACCACAAAATAGAACTTATCAGCGCTGAAGGTTTGAACTTTTAGAAAACATGTACATTTTAACTATATTATTATTCCCGGCCCTATGCCCAGACAGGGAAACAAGGGAAAACAATGGAAACGCAAATTTTTACAAATGCCTCGACTTGGTGGGAGATTTCGCTGGTTTCCAACGACCACTGCTGATGCCTCCTTTGGAGACCTGTGAGTCCCTCTGAAGCTATGTAGGCGGAGCAGGAGCTTCGTTTACACTTGACAGGAATGAAGTTCTCACCAAGGTTTGACTTGTACTCTAACAGGATCTAGCAAAAGGAACCAGCGAGAGGGCAAAGTGTCCTCCCAGCACGAAAAGAGCCCACATGCTCTAGCGCAGAGAAGTTCTTCCAGAAAAACCCATGGGGAGGGGGCTTTCCTCTTGACAGGACTAGTGAAATTGTGGCGCCACCAATTTTTTTCAGACCAAATACGACTCTCTCTCCGCAGCTACGAAATACGACCCCTCTCCCCTTAATAAAATATGACATGCTGTTCCTTCAGTCCTTTCAACGCTACCGTTACCTGGCGCCTTTACGAAGATTCAGGTGTAAATTGCGTGCCAGTTCGAGAGAGAACCGCTTCTCTCCTACCCTGGCAAACCACCAGAACCGACCGAACATTCATTGAGGTAATCTAAAATAATAATAGTAGGACTAAATACTAGATTCAGGTCTCCTACATACCATCTTCCCTAATTTTCCCAACTTTCTACAATTTTTTTCCGCAGTTCTTCAAAATTCTCCAGTTTTTACCCAAAAAGCGAGGAGGTTGTGGGAAAGGCTGCCTCCAAGCGACTACTTATTTCAGCTATCGAAAATAGTAGTTGTGTGGAAGTTTAGCTGCGCACCTACTAAGTAAGACGAGTGACACGGGGGGGGGCTATTGCACATGTGAGACAGGGAAATCCGCGAAAAGTCGTCAACTAGAAAAAATTTTCCTAAGGCCAGATACCACCCTCTCCTCCTGCGACCAAATGCAACCCCCGCCTGGGAATCCCCAGCGCACGACGTGCCCTGAGCATATCTTTAGATATATTCACTGCATTAAAGACACAATTTGGCACTTTGGTTGCGACCCGGTCTCTCATAGCAGCCAATTTACATTGTTAATTCTCTACCATTATCGTTGCACCTCTGTAAATAGCAAATGCATTAGCAATAGTTCAGATCCTTTACAAATGCTGTTCAGGTCCTTTTCCTTTGCTCGGTAGCACTTCGATAGGAGTGCTACTATTAGTGGCGCCTGCGTTATCTTTGCCAAAAAGTACTTCGGCTGCTAGATGGCTTTTAATTCCGCATACGATTAGAAACATATGCATTCAGCGATTTGCGACGCTTTGCACGCATTTTTTGAAACCGCGTTTCTAAAGGACACGCGCTCGATAGTTCTTTGTAGGCCAAACGGGCGAACAGAGAGAGATGATGAGGGCTCAGAGAAACAGATGATGATGAAAGAGAGGAGAGTGCAGATTGAGAGGCAATACGATTAGGGACTGGAGAGTGCGAGAGAGGAAGACGAAGACGAGGCATCGTGAGCAGACAAGGAGGCAACAGGTGGTTGAAGAGAGCTGAGGTGGCGAGATAGTGATGTGGGTGGCAGACACGAGAGATAGGGCGGGTTTGGCCCGATGCCAACGGAAAGCGTGCGGTCGCGAGGCGGTCGTTCTGGTGCGGGGCAGCAGCAGCCGTCGGGTGCCCCTCATTCTGTGCGGTGGAGAGGGTATGCTGGCGCCGATCATCACCAAGGATATGAAGCTGTTCCCGACTCGACCATTACCGGCCGGTATCAAGAACGTGCGCAGCCGTGCTCAGAGTCTTGATCAGTTCAATCAAGTGCAAAATAGTGGCAGTGCACGTGGTCGAATTGTACCGGTAAAACCACGAAGTTCACAATCTACCGGCAATTTACCGGCTACTGCTGCTGCTGCTGCTACATCCACTACCGTAACTGGTATTGGTAGTGGTAGTAGTAGTGTTAGTGCTTCTTCAGCATCGGAATCGCCATTCACGTCGTCACGGAGTCCCCCAAAAACGTCGATCCACCGCAAGACCACGTTGACTGCCATTCAAGAAGGAGTTGAAATGGGTCACAGCCATCATCATGCTCATCGAGTTCGACATACGGAAAGGTGATACACTATAATCTATCTATCCACATAATTCTAGTTCTCTGCTTTCATCATTGTTGTTTGTTTTCTGTATTATTACTACATAATTACTACATACACATCACACAGAACGTGATCCCGGTGGGTCGTAAGCTTCACTTTTTATTCAGTTGCTCTTATACTCTTTCATTCTATGTTTTAGTACTTTTGCTTTTTTCCCCTTTGTTGATAGCATCTCCAGTCCCAACACGACTTATGGGCCATTTTTCAGCTTATCGGACAGCAAGCTGCCTTCAGATGTTCCACGAAGGAACTCGAAGAAGTCGCGTAAGAAGACGTCAAGTGATGAGAATGTGATGAAAAACGGTCATTGTGAGAATCGACGTGAAAGTAGCGGCGATGGTGGTGGTAGCGATGATGTACCGGTTGGTAAAAAAGAGAAGAAAGGGGTCGTCAAATGGCTTACGTCAGCTTTTCGAAGGTCAAAAGACAAGGAAACTTCATCGGATAATTCCAGTTGCAATTCTAGCTAGGTGATATTATTTTCCTTTTTTTCGGCTTTTCCCTCTCTCTCTCGGACATTACTTTTCACTTTTGCAGTTACCAGTTATTGCTTACCCTTTTCTATTTATAACTCTGATCTATTTCCGCTCATCTTCTATTTAATGCAATTCCGAAATTCTGCTACGCGTATTCTAGTCAGAAATCTATTGCGAACGTTCCATAGATGATCGTACGCGTTCACGATTTTGAAAAGTCGCCTAGTCAGCCAGTTGATGACGCATCTACAGTAGCGCTTCGTATCACGTTTTCGTGCCGTGACGTCGTTGATCTTGATTCTTTCGTGCCAAATCGTGAACGCATCGATCATCTAAAATGAATTTTGGCTTTTAATGTAAATATGAATATGAATTCATCATGTGTGTGCGTGTTATGTAGTTGACGAGTGCCCGTGGCTATGTGTCCGATTTTCGACTTTTTTTTTGGCGTATAACGCCCCATTTGCATTTGTGTTCATCTCCCACCCATTCTATCCTCAGCTCATGAGTGCAGTTTTGTTCTGGTTCTGCCCTTCCCATCCCATCCACACTATCTCCGAGTAAATTCTTTGTGTATTTCATGTTTCAACCAACCTGACGTTTTTTTTCGCTTTTGAATTTACTATTGATCCGTTGAGAGCCGCCATATGTGTATGCCTAGCTCGAGCTCGTCTGCAAGGAGTTCTTGCAGAGTTTGAGCTCGAGCTCCTATTTCTTCCTTCTTAAATCAACTGGCTTTTGTGCCTTGTTATATCCCCTATCATTTGATGATGATGTTACGTCTATCAGTGCACTTGTTCCCGTTTCAGATTTGCTCTATTCCCATTCGCTGTGATCACATCTTCTCACGGTCGTGGTTTTCTTATTTACACAGCTTTATCATGTGATACATACATTTGTATGTGTACACTCCATATCCCGGCGATAGAGTGGGCGTGGCCGCGGGCTTTATTTCAAGGTGGCGGCGGCTCTTTACCCGATGGGATGTTTTCGTTTGGAGGCAATTGTAGTCATGCCTTTGTCCAGCATATCACAGAATGGCAGATGACTCAAGTATAAATTCCCATGGTAAACGGATCCTGTTGCGTTTTCGAACGAAGTACACACCCACGCTCATCTCATATCCAGGACATGGACTGTATGTGAAGGATGTACGTAGTATTGCACGAAATGTTCGCACGATTTTTCCAAATTGTCTCCATTTTCATCTCATTCCTCCTTCTCTCAACATCATCACCCAGCCACCCATCATTTTCACGCGCATATGTATCAGACTACGATCTTTGGTCTCGGTTTTCATGACGACGTTCTTCTTGTAGCACAGACTTCAAGTGAACTCAAACTCATATTCATATTATTGTACATACATATACATTTACAAACGAATATGTATTAGCATAGATTATTGATTACCATTAAGGGATGACATTCGTCCGGGTCATTATTATACTGCTATGCTCATATACGCGTTTATTGACATGTCTAATGTGATCGAAAATAGCCCGAAATGATTAGGCCATGTTGATATCCCACCCCAAAAGGCGGCATTTTTCTTACGCATGATGTGTGAGAACTTGGCAGTGGGCCAAGTCGCCCTAACTGGGCTGTATGCCGGTCCTTTAGTCGGTATTGGCGGGATCAGCACGATCTATTCGGGCTATTGGTCGAGTCAACATGATTCCCACGAAAATGCTAGTTGTCAGCGAGAAATGATTTCAAGCTATTCAACATAGTATTTTTTTCTTGGTACCCAGAAAAATGGGAACAGCGCGTACGAGTAAATCACGAGTTGTTGATAAGTAATGCGGTAACTATCGGTGATCCATATTGTATCAATCGTTTTTATCATGATTTTTTTTCTAATAAAGATATATTTATCAATTTGATGTATGAGTGTTTGATTTGTATAAATTTGAATGGCTAGACGACAGCTCTCTATAATGTATGTGTTCGCTTTCCTATTTTGGTCCTAGTGTTTCCGGTCTAGATAGGAAGTCATGTGACTCGATTGGAACCTTTCCGCCCGGTGTCGCACGCGTTACACGCCCACCAGTGGGGTAGTGTCTAACGGGCAGGTGGTTGCTAGTCAATATTTGTGGCGAAACCTCGCCTAGCACGTGGGTCTGTGTGACGTGCGTCATTGCGGCTCATTTTGCTGGCGATGATGCGCCACATATCACGATCTGCACACTTTCAACGACAAATATTCAACGTATTCAACATTTGGGGACATTGTGCGGGCAAACGATTGAAATACACAGGTGTCGACGCATGTCCCACGTGGGTAGTACGTACTTCTGAGTGTATAGGGTGGTTCAGCCTCATTCAGCACCTTAGCGATCAAAGTTCGACAGCTACTTGAGATAATACTGGGAAGGCAAAAGGTTCCGCGATTGATGGATCCCTTTTGGGATGTGCCATGCATTCCACTTCCATTCAGAATCGTAGTGGCGTAGTGGCTTTTGAATGTATGACCTAAAGAATAACTTGCCGGGGCTAGTGATGCACAACTCAAAAGATAAGAAAGAAATGGGTGGAAAATTGGGTGGAAGAGATCATCAAAGAAATGGGGCCGGAAGAGCCCCATCATCCAGCCCCGAAGCAAGACTTGGGGTAGGTATATGATAAATAGGTGGGACAAAATTGAGTGCATATTCAGGTAAAGATAGCAGTTATAAAAGTACTTGGTAGAAAAAGAATTGGAGGAGTCTGAAGGCAGAAGACGTGCTAGTCTCCCTAGAGGTCAGGTTGCCATCAACCCGCAGCTGTAGTTTCACAGTGGGGTCCGTAAACTCCAGTAAAAATACTTCTAGTAACTAGTTTCACAGTGGGGTCCGTAAACTCCAGTAAAAATACTTCTAGTAACATGCTACTCAGCTAAATTTCCAGATCCCTGTGTTTTAACGGATGCTGTTGGGCCAAGCAAAATTTTGAGCATTCAGCTTGGAACAACTTGGAAGTCGAAACTTTTACAAAAGAAGGCTTCAAAAAGATTTCACGGTCAGGGCACGTTGTATGTTGGGAATTCCCGGCTGGTAGGGAGGGACGTAGTTGCTCACTGGAGGGAGGCGGAGGGTCGTAATTGCCTTTGAGAAATGTTTTCAATTGTAGACTTTTCTCGCTTCTTCTCCCATTTCACGTGCATTTATTCTGCTTCACTCGACACCAGTTTTTCGAGTAAAAAAAAACTGGAGAACGTCCGAAAAAAAGGGAAAATAGTAGGAAGTTAAGAAAATTTAGGAAGATGATAGGTGGGATGGGGAACAAGGGGGGGGGGCATATTTCACAAAAGGTTTACCCAACGGCAGGAATTGACCTGTATACGGCACCATAGAAGTGAGGATTTCGTAGAACAATCGATGAGTCCTATTCCTCACCCATATCAAAGTAGGGCTTAGCATCACCTTGATGGTTTCGCCCGGCGGCGAAAACCCAATGCGGCTGGGTTACATATACCTGACCGCGAGACTTGAATCGCTACCCCAGTCAGTGTTTTTTTTCCAAGTTGCCCACTAGATCTTAACTTATAAGTTGCAGACAACAGGGTAGTACAGCATCCACTAATTGCGCTGAAATTACGGGCTTGGATCCCGAGAACAACATCCTCGCACGCTGCACTGTTACCACGGCCTAGGCTGCGAGTGTAGAGCGGACGTTGCGTCGTTCTCACTTCCGCCTTGTCTGTCGCTGGATTGATGCATTTAATTTTTCGCACATTTTTGCGGTACTGTTGCCTCCTGTTGTCTTGAACTTGAAATCTTGCAGATCTTAAGGGTTTCAGCGCCAAATAAGAGACCGACGGAAATCGAATGGTTTCCTTTCACCAATGGCTTCACAACACTACACATGCGTGTCGTCACTTATCTAGTAAACACAAGTTAATGTAGCTTTTTGAGAGGGATTAGATCTTCCTATCAGCAGTTTCTGATATTCTATTTTCAGTAAAACCTAGAGTGAGCGAACTCTTCAAACTGTGTCCGCAGACTGGTTCTGGCCACATTTTTTCGAAGTTTTTACGTGTTAATTTTTCGTAGTTAATACGACATTTTCTTACTGCAGAGGGAAAGCAATGTAGCTAGTTAATCCGTTTCGGGATGCGCCACGCATTCTACTACGATTCATACACGGGTGGCGTCTATGTAATGAGAAATGGAGACAACCGATAGAAATTTGTGTTTTTATCCTTCTCAGACGAGACTGCTACCAATTCATCCACCTGGGAGATATGGAAAGCTCGCTTAGTTTGGGCTGGAACCAATCCTCTATTTGGGCCCAGACCGTGGGTGTGTTACTTGCCACTGAACCCAGTTCACATCATCGCGCTACCCAAAATTTTGTTAAATTCGCCCGCTACCCCCATTCCACCATCGGTCTGAGTGGAGCCTCTCGCTACGATCCCTGTCAGACTTCCTCGCCACGATTTCCCTACCTAATTAACGAAATCTTAGCAGAACTTTCCAGGCATTTTCCTGTACGGTGGGAGGTGGGGGTTAGGTATATAAGAAACTATCGGAAAAGTGAAAAGACCTTATTTTGGACCAGACACGGCCCTCATCATACCTCGGCTGCGATTGCCACAAGGAATGACTGCTCTAACCAGGGCACGTCGTACGGGGAATAATCAGCAGGAACTCGTATTTGTTTAATGGAAGGGGGGTCCTTCTTAGGCCGAGAAGTTTTTGTAATTGTGGTAGATTTTTTTCCTGATTCACGCGCCCTCTCCCCATCGTTGGGAGAATTCCAAAATGGTGAGAGGGATTCTTATTAGCCCGAAAGGAATTTTTCAAATTCCGGAAAAACTTTTCCGTGTTTTTCTGGTTCCAATTATGCTGTATTTGTGGCGGCGTGAAAGTTCTGTACGACAACTGTTTTCGATGGTTGAAAATAGTAAATGTTTAGTGGTGAATGGGGAAGTGGGGAGGGGGGGGGTGGGGGTCGCATTCTCTGAGATTCCTCAGCGGTGACAAATGTCTTCACCCTGACAGCAGCATTTC